TAATTAATGCAATTAAACACCTCCCAGAAGGAGGGTTCACACCAACCCCTCTCTGGGGAGATTTGTTGGAATAACCCCCTCCAGCCCTGGGGAAAATCCTTAAAGTTTTGGGCAAATTTCCTAAAAACTCTCATTTTTCACTCCGGCACGCAGGAAGCATCCGCCTCCTCCGCCCAGACAAGCTCCTAAATCGGAATTTAAATCCGAAAGAATTAATCGATCACATTCCCAAAAGGCTTAATTCAGTGTATTAATTGAGTGTATTAATTCAGTGTATTAATTAATTCACTTTTAACTGCTCTTCTCCCCTCGATTTTTTATATTTAAACAAGGGAACTCCGGGTCGAACACCCTTCTGGCTCCGTGGGGATAAATAACCCGGATTCAAAACAAATTTAAAAGCTTATTAACAAATAATTCTCCACCTCCAGATGATTTTCAAGACCTAAAAACCCAGAGGGTGTTGCTTAAATCCTCAGGGATTTCGGGAAGGACCCAACACGGTGCCTCGGCCGGACCTGGAGGTGTTTGGCAGAACTGCCAGCAAATGGTTTCGGGGTGATTCATTGGGGTTTTGGGTGTTTTGTTGTTGAATTGGGTTTTTTTTGCTTGGTTTTGTATTGTCCTGGCTGCTGGAAATCCTTCACCCCGCGCCGCCATCCTGCCCCAACACGTTGCCATTATTTGCAGAGCGTGTCAGAATTATCCTGACAAAGGGGGGGCTTCTTTTGATTAAAAAATAAATAAATATATATATATATAAAAAATAGGAAGTTTCCCACCGGATTAACCCTCCCAGTCACCTACAAACTCTGCTTTTTCCCCCAAAACGTGCCCCCCTCACCGTGTCTCTGCTTGGCATCCCATCCCCCCCCGGGCTGCTTAATCACCCGGGTGTAAAAATGGGGAGAAAAGAGGAGAAAAAAATGTGAATTTACAACCGTGAGCATAACACCCCTCCTGGAATCCCAATATTTAGGAGTTTTCATCCTTCTGTGGCGAGAGGACCCCCCCCGTGTCCCAAAACGCCGCCTGAAATCTCTGATTCTGACATAAAAGGAGGTGGAATAAAAAAAAAAATAGGAAGGAAAGTCTGTATTTTTTACTGTTTTTTTGTAAAGTCATCTCAAAAAAAGAGCTGCCTGGTAAGAGATGCACCAACAAACCCCCCCCCCCACCTCGGAGGGGCTTTAGGAGCATCTTGATGGGACCTAGATTGGGCAAATTTAGGGTTTTCAACCCAAAGAAAACGTTTCCTTTCCCCTCCCAAGCCCAGTGCAGCCACTCTGGGTTTTAAACTCCAGTCTGGAAGTCAAACTGGTGGAGGGCAGCAGCCAGAAGAGGACTTCCATCTTCAGGGGGGTGGAAAAAGGGGGGAATATTCTGATTTTTAAGCAGAGTTCCTAAAAAAATTCCAGAATTCCTAAAAAAAAAAATAAATAAAAATCTCATTTTTCACTTAATATTTGAACCTGCCCACATCACAGTGATGGGGCTCGTTTGCTAACGAGGAGCACGACGAAGGCTGGACCACGTGGGACGGGATGAGACCATGGAGGGGGTGTCTTTGGGTGGCAAAAAAATCAATTAATAGACACTATAAATTGATATAATCCTTCCAACGGTGGATTTAATGCCGGAGGAGACACCACTAAAGCAGCCCCACACCCCGTTTCGCCGGGTGCCCACCCAAGGGTGACACAAAGGGGTTTATTAACGTTCCCCAGAGGCTTCTCCGGGGATTATTAGTAATTAATCAACGTGTTCTCCCCCCCCCTGCCCCCCCAGCAGCAGGGGATTAGACGGAGCCGTGAGTCACACCTCGCCCTGGACTATAAAAAGCTTGATCCTTTCCACAAACAGTATTTTCTTGCTTGGTCACCAAACCCGGGGCAAAAAAGGGGGGGGGGGGAAAGCCACACACCCCCCCAGGGCCCCCCGAGTCCAAGAAAATACCAACATTAAAGCAGTTGGTCCATCTAAAATGAGAAAAAAAAATAAATATATAGGTGGAACCAAAGCAACTCGTAGCTTCCTCGCCCCGGGATGAGAAAACATTGAATTAATTTGAGAGGTTTTGGGACAGAATGACATGGGGTTGGAAGGGACCTCTGGAGAGCATCTAATGATCTCCTGATCCTGCCAGAGTAGGTCCCACAGGATCAAATCCAGTTGGGTTTGGGATGTCTCCAGAGATGGAGACCCCACCACCTCTCTGGGCAGCCTCTGCCAGGGCTCTGCCACCCTCAAAGTCAACAAGTTCCTCCTCATGGTGAGATGGAACTTCTCATATTCCAGTTTGTGCCCGTTCCCTCTTGTCCTGTCCCTGGGCACCACTGGAAAAAGCCTGGCCCCATCCTCCTGACCCCCACCCTGGAAGGATTTCCAGGCCTTGAGCAGATCCCCCCTCAGCCTTCTCTTCTCCAGACTCAAAAGCCCCAAGTCCCTCAGCCTTTCCTCCCCAGAGAGATGCTCCAGGCCCCTCAGCATCCTCGTAGCCCTTTGCTGGACCCTCTCCAGCAGTTCCCTGTCCTTCTGGAACTGGGGAGCCCACAACTGGTCCCAGTGCTCCAGCTGGGGCCTCCCCTGGGCAGAGCAGAGGAGCAGGATGACCTCCCTTGAGGTTCTCCATGCTCTTCCTCATGCCCCCCAGGATGCCATTGGCCTCCTTGACCACCAGGTCCATGGTCACCCTGTTGTCCCCCAGGACTCCCAGGTCTTTCTCCTCAGAGCTGCTCCCGAGCAGGTCACCCCCAACCTCTCCTGTTTTTGGGGGGTTCTTCCTCCCCAGGGGCAGGACCCGACACTTATCCTGGTTGAACTTCATCTGGTTCTTCTCCCCCCAACTCTCCAGCCCATCCAGGTCTCTCTGGATGGTGGCACAGCCTTTCTGGGGTGTCACCCCCACCACCCGAGGCACAGAGCATCCTGGTCCTCCCCGACCACCGGAGCCACTTCCCACCACACCTTCCCCCATCCATCTCCTAAACCTTCGGTTTTCCACCCAAAAAAATATAAATAATCAGCGATTAGTAGCAGTTTGTGGCTTCATGGGAAGAGCCACCAGCAAAATCAGCTCCTCGGCTTCAACCAACAGGATCAGAAGGTCCCCAAGGGGGATCCTTTGCTTTCTCCTCCACCCCCTGAGCCTTGACATCACCTAATGGAGGCCAGAATGGCCCAAACCGAGCAGAATTAGCCCCAAACCTGACACAAAATCTCCCAGGAGTGCCCTATGATGGGATAGGGACCGGGGGGTCAAAAAAACCCAAGGTGGCAGAACATCCCCGAACCCAAAACCCAACAGAAATGGTTGTTCTGGGTGAAAATGAAGCTTCCACCAGCTCCTCCAGCCCCAAAAATGGGCAACTTGGGATGCAAAAAGGCAGCCAGACCCCCAAAAAATGGGAATATTTATAAATCCCTCATCCTGCAAGAGCCACCGGAGCCCTGGCACCATCCCAGGACAAGCAGAGCATTCCCAGCAGGGAAAAAGGCACATTTTTTCTTAAAAAATCACCCACTTGCTCAAGATTCGGATCAAAAAGCGGCCTTTGGGCAAGAGCCGCAGTGGAAGTTCATTAAAACGCAACCATTTTCAGACCTTCAAGTCATTTTCCATCAAAACTTCACCTTCTTTTCCACCTGCCTCCCTTTTTTGCTCCAAAATCCAAGGATTTCAACACCCCGATTTCTTCTAAAAGTCACACCCAGGGAACGGAGCCTCCCAGCCCTTCCAAAAGGCAGAAAAATAATACTAATAATTAATAATAATAATAATGAGCCTGGAGGCTCTGCCCGCACCATCCTCGCTCCCGTTTATCGGTTCCTCTTTCCAGGATTAATTACAAAACCCAAAATTTCCGCTCCAAAAATGTCCCGAAGGCGAAAAAAACCCACGTGGGTTAAAAAAATCACCGCGTTTCAGGGCGTGATAATTAATAAAGATGATGATCAAGGAGGCTGGGTCTCATTTTTGTGGCGTCTTCGCTTCCACCTCCATCACTTTTCCCTTTTTCCAGGGAAATGTCATGATTTGGGGGGAGATTCCAGCCCTGGCAGCCCCCGGGGGGGGGTGAAATTTGGGGCATTTTGGGGGCGGAATTAAGGGCTGGGGGCACTGGGACACAAACAGGAGCCACATCCACATCCAAAGCTGGGCTTTGGGAGAGCCCTCCCGGGGGGGGACACTAATTATCAGCACCCTATTAATCCACCACCCTATTAATCAACCTTTTTTCCCAGTAGTTCTCTCAAAAAAAAAAAGGAAAATCTGGGTTTTTATGTCATTTAAAGCGAGGAGTTTAGAGTTGAAGCGAAGGGCTGAGGTGGTGGTTGAGGGAGAGCATCCCCCCCCCGGTGTCACAATCACCCCCCCACAGCCTCCAGTTGGTAAATTCGTATCAAAAAACCCTAAACCAACAGAAATTAAGGCACTAGAAAGACCCCAGCTCCTTCCTAAGTCCCCACAGACGTCCTGGCCGCGCAGAAAATTCAGGAGCCGCCGCCGCCTCGAATTCTACAAACTCCGAGTCAAGTGGTTAAATATCAGGGTTTTTCCCCAAAAAATGACCCACACACCGCCCCCGAGCAGCCCACGGAGAACACACCCCCCCGAATTTCCTGGGAAAAGGGTGGTTTTTAGGCCCCTGGCAAAAAAGAGCCCCGGTCCCTGCGACGCCACCGCGGCCACTTTCTAACCCACGGCTTCAAGTTCAGCCCCACGAGGCTTTTCTTTCCCCTTTTTTAACCTTAAAAACCACGAAGAACCACAGAAAAAGCCACCACGAGGCTTTTTTTCCCCCTTTTTTTAACCTTAAACACCACGAAGAACCACAGAAAAAGCCACCACGAGGCTTTAAAGCCCCAGAGGGGGACAGGAGCGACCGCCGTGGGTCGAGGAGGAGACGACCCGAGGTCGTCGGTGATCCCAGGTGGAGAATTCCAGCCCTAAAACTTCAGAATTCGGCAACAAATTACCAACCCCATCCCTTTATTACCCCAAAAATCATCCTCCGGCCAACCCGGAGCGCGTCGCTGCCGGCAAACCCCGCCACGGAACCGGTAATCCCCTTACGTTGCGCCGCTTGCGCCCATTTCACAGATGGGTAAGGAGGAAGGTTGAATTCTGCTCTCCTGGGTGGCACCGGGAAACGCTGCCGGTGCCGGGGAGGATCC